ACACAGGGACGGTCCCAATAATATCCGGGTGTCTGGTCTGCCTATGTGCACAAGACACAATCTCAGAAAATTGCCATGAACTCTCAGTGCATGGGCACAGCTCAGGTGCAGTAGTCATTGGATGTCACTTTGAGCCACCCAGTTAGAGTAACAACAGCTTGCCTGGAAACCCTTTTCTTTGGAAGATGCCTAGTCTTTCTTCCTATGGATACCTGAGGGTATGTCTATACCTGCACCCTCTTTCGAGAGAGGGATGCAAATGAAGACATTCGAAATTGCAAATGAAGCCAGGATTTAAATATCCTGTGCTTCATTTGAATATTTGCCTTATGGCGCTATTTTGAAATAGCGCTATTCTGAAATAACAGACATTGCTAAGACACGGTTATTCCGAGAGAAAATCCTTCTCTTGAAATAACTGGTAAACCTCATTGTATGAGGAATAAGGGTTATTTCAAGAGAAGGGTTTTCTCTAGAAATAAACGTTCCTTAACAGCGTCTGTTATTTCAAAATAGCGCCATAACGTGAATATGCAAATGAAGCACAGGATATTTAAATTCCGGCTTCATTTGCAACTTCGAATGTCTTCATTTGCATCCCTCTCTCGAAAGAGGGTGCAAGTGTAGACATATCCTCAGTCTCTTTGGTGCCCATTGGGCATAAGCCAAACTTGAAGGTTAATATTGCTTCTCTAAACAGCCAGTGAATGCCATGTGTAACCAACACCAGACAGATTTGAAGCTGGGTCCTCTGGAACTTAGTGTAGGAGCCTCTACAGCTTGAGCTATAAAATCAGCTGGCTCTCAGCTCAGGCTGTAGAGCTCCCTTGGTCTTATCTCTCGCTGTAAATGGTCTAAGTGCCACTACATGAGACAGTGAACCACACGGGCACTACGTCTACACTGCCTCTTTTTTGCGGAAGAAGCAATGCAAATGAAGCGCTCATTAGCAACTTCTTGTGCTTCATTTGCATATTCTCTTCCCACCGCCTTTTACAAAAGAGGTTTTTGCACAAAAACAAGCAGTGTAGATGGGTCTGTTCTGCACAAAAAAAACCCCCATTTGCACAAGATCTGTACACCTCCTTTTTTGAGGCATAAAGATCTTGCACAACAGGGTTCCCCGTTTACACTGCTTTTTTTTGCGCAAAAAACTCTTCCGCAAAAAGCATCTGAAGAGAATATGCAAATGAAGTGCGAGAAGTTGCTAATGAGTGCTTCATTTGCATTGCCTCTTCCGCAAAAAAGAGGCAGTGTAGACGAGCCATAGATGTGTGGGTTACACATGCACAAGCTAAGATAAATGTCAAGTGACTCAGATCATTTGGGGAATGATCAGAGCCATAATTTGAGCTCTTGACATTCACAAAACCACTTAGAAGAATTAACTGATTCTTAACAATGCTGTTTTCACAGGGGCTGTATCTTGAGAACCTCTTGCTCAAATGTCTTCAAATATGGAAAATTAATATAACCCAGCAAACCCATAAGTCATAGCAAATGTCAAGACAATCTAAGAAAGCACGCAGATTTTAAAGCCCTTAATAGTCCACCTTTATAAAGAACGTAGTGCTCAACTTGGCACTCTGCTATCATGTGAAGGAGAAGGAATGAAGGCTGCTGCAGGACACTGAACTCTGAATTTTCTTTTATGCAATTAAAATCTTAACCTCAAAGTCTTACAGTCTTTTTTATGCTGCATATACACACACACAGTTTTGTTTACCTTAACTGTTAAATAAGATTTCAATAGCTCCTGATTTCGCAAGGGTCTGACAATTCAGTCTATTTGTAAGCTCTGGGAGGGTTGATGGCTCCGTGATAAACCAATGTACTAGGAGGAATGTCTGGCCTCCAATGGAAAGTAAGTAACTCTGCTAAGAGATAAAACCAAATCTCAACAACTATTTCTGTGAAGATAGAACACAGCACTTGTACCACTGATCTTCCTAGCACTCATACTCTTCTACTACCAAATGCCAGGATACTTCACCTCCCAAACTTGACCCACCAAATACAAATCACAGCCTGTCCTACGTGGGCTGTTAGAAGATCTGAGAGTGCCTGTCTTTCTCTATCAATCTGCTTGAATTTTTTGAGAATAAGTGGAAGAAGAATGATTCTTTGGCTTGAGGAGATATATTATTTCTGTTCTGGTTGAGGGAATGAATTTGTCACCTAAAGAGAGTCCACATACATTTAGAGCAAAACTATTTTTGGTTCTTCCCAGAGTCACCTATACACAGAGAGATCTCTTGATTTGGGAAAAGTTCTTTGTCTATCTGTGATAATTATCTGATCCTTTATACCATAGTGCCTGAGCACCTCATAATCTTTAATGTATGCATCCTCACAACTTTGTTGTGATGTAGGGCAGTGCTTTCAATGCCATTTAAACAAATCAGGAATAGTGGTCCAGAGACAGTCATAATCCCAAGAATATATGCAAAATTTTCAGCAGAACAGGAACTTGAATTCAAATATCCCATTTCCTCAACAAGGACTCTTCCCATTGTTCCATCTTCCTTTCTGTAGGACAGTCTACTATTTGTAAATATTGAGCAGGGCTGAATTACACTCAACTCCCATAAGACCTATGGTGCTATTACATGTGTGCCAAAAAGGGTCTAGTCACCAAACAGAATAAGGAGCTGTTTCTGAAGCTGCAATAACCAGAAAATTTGGGGCATTCCTTAGATTAGCTGCTACATTTTGTATTGCCAGCGTATTTTTCTATACAGTAATACTAAATTACATAATCAATGGAAAAATAATTTACTATAAAGGCTATCACACTGACAAATTCTAGCAAATGCATATAAATCTCTTCTCTAACATTGCTAGCATAATATATTGATGATATTAATCACAATAACATGAAACAATATTCTAGCATTGCCAAACCCAAACTTTCAAAAATCATTGTTAGAGCCTAAAAATTATGAGATTGCCCTGATAATCATGAGACCTTAAAAATAATATATATTTTTTCCATTTGTTTTCTGAGTTTTGAACATTTAAGGTTTACGTTTTAATGCTTTTCTCTGCAATTGTGAGGGATAGAAATCTTTTAAAAACACTTTTTAAAAAATGAAAGCTGAACGTTTCATATAATTACATGATCACAGGAGTTGGAAAATACCAAACAGCACAAGACTTGTGATAAAACTTTATGAGCAGGCAACGATATTTATATTTTCACTGCATAAGACTAAAATGGGAGTCATATTTGCAAATACACATTTATTTGTATGTATATAGGCTTATAGCACATTTCACTTGACATTTCAAAACATAGGCTGTGTCTAGACTGGTAAGTTTTTCTACAAAAGCAGCTGCTTTTGCGGAAAAACTTGCCAGCTGTCTACACTGGCTGCTTGAATTTCCACAAGAACACTGACAATCTCATGTAAGAAATCAGTGCTTCTTGTGGAAATACTATGCTGCTCTCATTCGGGCAAAAGTCCTTTTGCACAAAAGGGCCAGCGTAGACAGCTCAGATTTGTTTTGCGCAAAAAAGCCCCGATCGCGAAAATGGCGATCGGGGCTTTTTTGTGCAAAAGCGCGTCTAGATTGGCATGGACGCTTTTCCGCAAAAAGTGCTTTTTCAGAAAAGCGTCCATGCCAATCTAGATGCTCTTTTCCACAAATGCTTTTAATGGAAAACTTTTCCATTAAAAGCATTTGCGGAAAATCATGCCAGTCTAGACGTAGCCATATAGCATAAACTCAACAACTCCTCTGAGTGCTCAGTAAGCATTGTTATTGTGGGAAAGTGAAACATCAGATCACAGACTGGGGCCAGAAATAACAGCTCTCAGGAGTCCTGAGTTCCAAACCTATGCTCTGACCACTAGTACACTGACTCCCCCACCCCTTTATTACTATCAAATTAAATCAAATCCTCTTCAACCTGGATCACCCTCTGTCTTCCCTCTACCCTACCTTGGGAGGGAAGGACAAAGGGGGCTAACAGTACCGTGTGGTCCACTCACCAAACACAAACGGTCCTGTGGCACCTTATAGAGTAAGGGTATGTCTACACTAGCCCCCTAGTTCGAACTAGGAAGGCTAATGTAGGCATTCGAAATTGCAAATGAAGCCCGGGATTTAAATGCTATTCAGGTCCCCCATCCAGTTAAAAAAGAAAAAACCGGACATTTGAAATGTCCGGTACTTCCTATTTCCCTCAGACAGAAGCCTGGTGGGGACAATTTTCCCCTGCCGCATCTGGCGGAGGAGAGAGGGGGAGTGAGGAGTGTGGGGCCATTTAAAGTCTCAGCACCCCCTTTTTTTTTCTTAACAACTTTGGTCAGCACCCCCCCTTTTTTTTGGCTCAACAACATTGGTCTCCCCCTTTTTTTTCTCAACAGAATTTTTTCACTTTTGGGGGGGAAGGGGTTGAGTATTTTTTGTTAAACCATCTTGCAACCCTAGCAAAGACCCACTTTGTCAGATGCATGTGAACTGGGTCTTTGCCCACGAAAGCTTATGCTCCAATAAATCTGTTAATTTATAAGGTACCACAGAACTTCTCGTTGTTTATGCAGATTCAGACTAACATGGCTACCCCTTTGATTCTTGTCACCAAACACAATCTCTCACCCCCATAAATCACCACTGCCATCACACCCACTCTTTCTCCTGCTTGGGCCACGGTGTGTAAAACAACAGCCCTCCATCACTTCCCCCAGGGCCCTCTCTCTCTCTTTTACCCCCAGTATCCTCCTTCCCTCCCACCCCCAAGAGCCTCTCCTGCTCTCCCTGTCTGCCTATCCCCAGCCCTAAACAGAGTCCCTCTTAAGGTGTCTACTGCGTGCCTGAAAACAGGTAGAGCCAGAGCCGAATAGTTTCTCGAGCAGGGAAGGAGGAAGGGGACGAGTAGAATCTCCTCCGCTCCCGCTGAAAGTGTAACCCTCCGAGAGAGGACTTAAACAACCGAGGACAGGCACGATCAAGGACACCTTTGAACGGCGCCGGCTGTGTAGAAGGACCCTTCCCCTTGGCCGCGCGGGCCTGCGCCGTACGGCGAGGAAGGCCCCCGTTGTTGTGAGGGAAGCCGGGCGCTGGGCTCCGCAGCCGGTGGCGATGCCGCTGTACGAGGGCCTGGGGAGCGGCGGGGAGAAGACGGCGGTGGTGATGGACCTGGGGGAATCCTTCACCAAGTGAGTGGGCCGGCAGGCTCCGGCGACACCCCCCGGCCTCTCGCCACGCCCATGGGGAGGGGGCGGCGGGGGAGCGGCCGCTGCATCCGCGACAGCGCCGCCCTGTCGCGACATGCGGCCCCGTGGGCGCTGTGTCGCGACATGCCGGGCCTTGGTGCGCGGCCGGGATGCCCGGCTGGTCTGTCGCTGTCGGGACGGCTCAGCGGCGCTGCCCCGCGGCATGAGGAGGCCAGGCCCTCGGTGGGCGGCTGGATGCCTCTGGGGGGCTGGATGCCGAGACTGACGGGAGGGGGTTGCTTGGCCTGTCGGCGTCAGACTAGATGCTCCTAATGGTTCTTTCAGGCCTTTACATGACTGAGTCAGGGAATGGGACCTGAAAGAGCTTTCTGCAGATTTGAAAGCTTGTCTTTTTTACCAACATAGCTCGGACCAACAAAAGATATTACCTGAGGGCTGCCAACCCTCCTGGACTGGCTGGGATGCTCCCAGTGAATAGTCGTGTAACTGTGTGAAATCTTAGTGGTTACAGGACGATTCGATAATCCCTAGAGGCAGGGCCAGCAGCCGGTGCACTCCTGGCCTCGCTCCTGGGGAGCTGGTGCTGGGGGGAACCAGCTTTTAAGCACTGGCTCCTGCCTGCCCCTCCATCCCATTGGAGGCAGTAAGGTGGAGTTGGAAGGTCATGGGGAGCTGATAAGCAAGGGGAGCCTACCCCCCTCACCGTCTGCACTACTGCCTCTATATCAGAGGTGGGGAGAGGAACAGATCCAGTGTTCATGGGGAGCCAGATTTAAGCCAGCTCCTCACTAGCATTGGCTCCTGCTCTCCTCCCCCCTTGCTGCTTCTGATACAGCAAGGAGTAGGGTAATGTGTGTAATCAACTAGATAATCAATAAACCCAAGCCTATCAGTTAATTATGTAGTCATAGAATCATGGGGCTGGAAGAGACCTTAGGAGGTCATTGAGTCCAGCCCACTGCCCAAAGCAGGACCAACCCCAACTAAATCACCCCAGCCAGGACTTTGTCAAGCTGGGTCTCAAAAAAAAACCTCTAGAAATGGAGATTCCACCATCTCCCTAGGTAACCATTCCAGTACTTCACTACCCTCCTAGTGAAATAGTTTTTCCTGATACAGTAATTCCTCATTTAACACGGAAGATACGTTTCGGAAAATGATCATGCTAAGTGAAAACGTGTTATGCGGGGTCAATTTTCCCATTGAAAAGATAGGGGAGGGGGCTTGCAGTCGGCGGCTGGGTTTCCCCAGCTGGCTGGTCACCGGCAGCTGCGCGGGGCTTCCTCTGCCTCCTTACAAAGCGGCGGAGGTTTGCCGCTCACCGCGCAGTTCCCTGGTGACCCCCTCTGGCTGGATGCAAGGCATCTGTCCAGAGAGGGTCACCGGGGAACGGTGCTGTGAGCGGCAAGCCTCTGCCGCTTTGCAGGGAGGCAGGGGAAGCCTTGCGCAGCTGCCGGCCACCGGCCGGCCCTAAGGAAAATCATGTTATTGCGGGGACGGGGTCGTGTTTGAAAAATATTCCCTAAAAAAAAAAAATCGTGCCATCGCGAAAACATGTTAAGCGGGCACGTGTTAAGTGAGGAATTACTGTATCCAACCTAGACCTCTGCCTCTGTAACTTGAGACCATTGCTTCTTGTTCTGCCATCCCTTACTACTGAGAACAGCCTCTCTCCATCCTCTTTGGAACCTCCCTTCTGGAAATTGAAGGCTGCTGTCAAATCCCCCTTCACTCTTCTCTTCTGCAGACTAACTAAGCCCAAATCCCTCAGCCTTTCCTTGTAGGTCATGTACTCTAGCCCCCTAATCATTTTGGTTGCCCTCTCCTGGACCTTCTCCAGTGTGTCCACATGCTTTCTATGGGGGAGGGGGGGCCCAGAACTGGACACAATACTCCAGATGTGGCCTCATCAATGCCGAATAAAGGGGAATAATCACTTCTTTAGATCTGCTGGAAATGCTCCTTCCAATGCACCCTAATATGCCATTGGTTAACTGGTTACCTGTTTACATCCCTAGTTTTTATACAGCAGATCTCAGAGCACTTTACAAAGGAGACTAATATTATCACCATACTTTATCCTCTTCCTGCAGAAGTCAATGGCAAAATTTCCACTGGCTTCACAGGGAGCAAAGTTGTGTCTATAGTCAGTAGCTTGGACCCTAAAGTGGATTCAGTTGTTTCAACCACTGCTGTTCTAAATAGTGAATAGTTCAATAGAAAATGGTCATTATTCAATTAATTTAGCTTTCCAATATGTCTGATTTATTTTGGAATTAACATATTGACAAACTTCATAAATTTACAGTTTTGTATTTGACACCTATACTCTAGGTCAGTGATTCCCGACCTTTTCGATCGTGGGAACTGGCAAACCCAATCATAAACTTTTGGCTGACTGGTAACATGCTATTTGCATATGTCCATATTAATTATGCAAACAAAGAATGTGCAAATATGCAAATAAAACATTACCGGTTCGCCAGAAGACCAGCCCCCAGAGCTCTCAGTGCCAGCCATAACCCCTAGAATCCCCCACCCCTCCAGTGCCAGCCACTGACCCCAGAGTCCCCTGCCCCCCCCCAGTGTCAGCCTCCTGCCCTCAGACCCCCAGTGCCAGCCCTCAGACCCTCCCTGCCAGCCCCCAATATTAGCCTGCCCTCCCCAGTGCCAGCCCTGCCCCCATGTCCCCCCACTACTAGCTTACCTTCCAGAGGGGCCTCCCCAGCACTAGCCCTGCCCTGCCCCCCTCACCTAGCTCTGTGCTGCTGTCCATATCACAGTGGTTCTGGGGATGGGGAACACCGCCCAGTGCTTCTCATTCCACCACAGTTGTAGGGACTGTCTAGTTTGACAAATATATATTGAAGTGTGGCATTGCTGACATTTGGTGGCATAGCTCACATTAATGGATGTGCAGTTAAATGAGCTTCTGATTTGGTGACTGATGTGGTTGGGTCCAGTGATGAAATCTCTGGATTTTGTAATTCCCATTCCAACTCATCTGATTAAATGGGTTTTACTCACAAAAACGTATAACCTAATATATTTGTCCCTGTGTTACAATAGGGCTGCTCATTGTTTATATATGTGACTAGTTAACTTGATTTTTTTTTTCTTTAGATGTGGTTTTGCAGGAGAAACAGGACCAAGATGCATTATTCCTAGTGAAATAAAGAAACCTGACATTCCTAAGGTAACACTTTTAAAAATATACTATTGAGAAAGATTAACTGATTCAGGTTATTTGTGTTACATTTTTACTTGTAAGAAGTACTTTAAATATGTATGTTCAGGCATCACAGAAATTGTATAATTATTTCCTCTATCACAGCAGACCATGAATTATATCTTAGTTGTTCCTATTAAGAGGCCATAATCAGTTGCTATAAAAATTGACCTCATATTGAGGACAATTATGGTTCTGTTGTATAAAAAAACATAAAGTTAACTGGCTTGTTCAAATGAAAGGTAAAGTGGACACATCCCTTAATTAGAAACTTGGTGCCATATGGTAAGTTAGTAGGGCAATAATGATCTTGTTTTCTGGGTATTAATATTCTATCTGTTGTGCTTTGGACTATAAATTCCTCACAGTAAATTGTTAATCCTCAGAAACTTTCTTTCTCTCCATTAATATTACTTACAAATGAAAGCTGCTGAAAATTCCAGTGGTTACATGTTTACAAAAAAAATCCTCCAGGTACTGTCCAGGGGAGATGCCGCACCGGCCACTAAAGAAGCCCTGGAAGTGGCAGGGATGGCGCCATTGCACGGCGCGGCTGGGAAGCATACAGAGGAGCCCAGAGGCCTGTTCCTCATGGGACCTGCCCATCCTGCCTTCTGCCTGCACTGCTGAGCGGCTGCATTTCTGAGGCAGGGAGGCTGCTCTGTAGGGCAGCTGTGGAGAGCAGGGCTCCTCTAGAAGCCAGGGAAGGGGGCTGCCTGTCTCCCCTGGAGGTCAGGGGGGTACAGCCAGAAGGAGTAGGATTACTAGGGGACTCTGTCCCCCACCTTCTCCCCTCACCAAAGAGCTGGTGTAAATTGAGAAATGTTTCTGTATTGCATTGTGCCCAATGCACCCCACCTCCTGGCTTGCTCTATACCACTGCAAAAAACTATCTGGAATCTCAGGATTTCCTATGCTGACAAGGTGCTATTGGGGTTGCCATAAACACAAAGTCAGTACAGAGGCTAACAAGAGCCCCCCAGCACTGAAAACAGGTAGCAAGTCTAAATATTTGGTTTTCTGTTTAGAAACAAAAGACTGTAGGATTATGCTACTTCTGGTAGCAATATATTATAGGAGCAGCTCCTGCTACCAGTAGCGCAGTCTTACAAGGGAGCAGCTCTCTACAAACCACCTGACAATGGGAGCAACAGGGGCATGAAGCCAAATAAGCATCACGCCTCATGTACAGACCCCTGCATCCCAACCCCCCTCACTCACCCTCCTCCCCCGGTAAGACCTCAAGCTTGCTCCTACACCTTCCCTTGCTCCTACACCCTCTCTCCTGGCCACACTCTGCACCCTCCCTTTCTCCTGCACATTCCTTGCTGGCCAGACACCCTACCCCAAGCTCCCTCCTGCACCCTTCTTTGCTTCTGCACATCCCCCCTTGGCCAAACACCTACCCCCACCCTGCTCCTGCATCAACCATTGCTCCTGCACCCTCTTTCTTGGCCACACGCTGCACCCTCCCTTGCTCTTGCTCATTCCCCCCTGACCAGACACCCTATTCCCAACCTGCTTCTGCACCCTACCTCCCTCCAGACCTTGCAACCTCATCTCCTCCTGCATCTCACTTCCCACCCAGATCCTACACCCCCATCCCTATCCCACTTGCTGGTAGCCCTGCCCCGCACATTGAACCCCTCATTTTTGTCCCCACCCCAGAGTCTAAGGGAGGCCACAAAATCCACTAATTCCAGAACCCCAGAAAAGTAAATCTGGCCTATGGGAAGCCCTTAACCTCAGTCCTCCCTGTCCCTGTCCCTTTCCCTTGCCTCATGAGGCTGGAGCACCAGAGTAGTGATGTGTCTCAGTTTGGGGTGACGTCAGTAGTGGGGATGGGGGTTTTTGGAGGAGTTTTTTTGCTTCTCACTTGTGTGGTCCCCAACTGATTTTTCCTGTGGGTCAGTGGCCCCCAACCCAGAAAAGGTTCCCCACCCCTACCATAAATATAGAAAACATGGGAACCTTTTGTGTTTGACATAAATTAATATTTTACTTTATTTAAAATGAAGTTTGATTAGCATGAGAAAGTTAATACGCTTAATCAGTTTAATAATTTAAATTAAACCGTTCTCCCTAGCTGTAGCATTAGCAAAATGGCTCAGCCAAAATGATGTAATTAACAATGAGTTTCCATTAGCAACTAGTGGTCTGCAGAAAGATTTGCAGTGAACCAGGTGGTCCATGGGCCAAAAACTTTGAGAACCAGTGGGGTAGACAAATGGCATGAAGCCTGGCTCTGGGACTTTGCAAAGGGGAGTCCCTGAGCCTAAGTTCCAGCATGTTCACAGCAGTGTTATAGCCCAATGTTTCTCAACCTTTTTTTTATATAAAGTACCCCTTAAAAAAAAAAAAGTACCCCCCATACCTACAGTTTTCAGATACACAATTTTTTTTTCTACCATTGCAACACATTTGTTTAAACAACTTAATCGTAGCTGGGTGGGTGATGAAATTTTTGGGTGTAAAAAGTACAAAAATAATAAAGCGTTGTAAAATTTAAAACAGAAATTCAGTTTTCTCCAAATTTTAGTTGTGTTGACGTACCCCCCAGACTTCTCTCGAAGAGTACTTGTACCGTTGGTTGAGAAACACTGTTATAGCCCACAGCCCAAATCACATGACACTGCTTCATCTGACATGGATGAGCCTCAGCTGTTTAATTGGAGTATAGACATAACCACATGGTCAGCTTTGAGGCACATTGCCTCTGCCTGTGCTATGCTTTTTCTCTTAGTAGAGAATATAAGTTTCCAGAATTGTCAATTTGACACCTTTCCTTGGCATTAAAATTGAGACAAGTTTTAAAGAAAAAAAATCAATATTGATTCACGTTGAATAATTTGTGGGGTAATTTTGTGATGTACATTAATAAATAAAAAATTGGAAAAGTGTTTTTTAAAATCAATAAAAATATATTTTGAATTGTATACGGGCTGTGGATAATATTTTTTAATAGAAATTTTTACTTCTGCAGCCTATCAAAGTCGTTCAGTATAATATTAACACAGAAGAGCTGTATTCATATCTGAAGGAATTTATTCACATGCTGTATTTCAGGTAAGAAACACTCGGATATTTTTTTCTGGTGAACTGCTTTTGTCTGAGCACGCTTCAGAAGAAGTTTGTTTTGATACAGGGATTTTGGAGAAGACTGAGGTTAGGTTTCCTAAATAGTAAAAGGTTGGGAAGGTGATAGCTAGGAGGCTGGGCTCTTACTAAAACAATTGTTTGATGCTACTGAAATGTAATTGTGTTGTTAATGTGTGATAAGCACTTAGAGCTTTGGGTATGCATTTTATTGTTTAAAAACACTTCAATAAACAAAACGACTGTTAACTGTGACATGGTGAAAAATAGCTTGAACCCATTAATTAATTGTTCTTGAGTGAAATTGCAGTGATTTCAGTTGGGCTTCTCATAGGACAGATCCAAAGTTGGTTGAAGTAAAAGGAAACAACAGGCCCGATATGAACAAGCATTTGGAAGCATGGATCCAAATGTTCAAAGTCTGAGATTTATAATGTGCCTGTTAGGATCCCTGAATTCTGTAGGTTTATCTTTTTTTTTTACTGGAATAAAACATACTGTCAGGTTAATATAAATAAACTTTAAATGTTTTTTTTTCTCTTGATGTAACTGTCTTCCTGAACTTAGATTTGGTACTTTTATGCCTCACTCATATCCACATGCAGAATTACTTGACACCTCTTGTGGACAAATGTTACTTTTGTTACTGGACTTCACTGCTTTACTCTCTCCAGCATCATTGAGTTTTCTTTCTGTCCTCTCCCAGGGTATGTCTACACAGCAGAGTTATTTTGGAGTAACGTCCATTATTCCAAAATAACTATGCGAGTGTCTACACAGTTAGCCCGTTATTTTGAAATAAGGGGCAGCTTATTTTGGCGTTTGTTAACCTCATTCTATGAGGAATAACACCTCTTCTGAAGTAGCTATTTCAGAATAGCAGTAGTGTGGACACTCCACTGCAGCTATTTCAAAATAACTCCTTTCCCAGGCCATTCACAGTATTTACTCCCCACTGCTTCCTGGGGCTCTGAATTGAGGTAGTGCGTCCACATTAGGGGAGCCTGTCTTGGATTAATTTCCAGGCTTCCCTGTAGCGTAGATGCTCTATTTTGAAATAAGCAATTGCGGAGTATTTCTTCTGGAATAGCTTATTCCAAAATAATTATGCAGTGTAGACATAGCCCCAGTGCTGTTCTGTTTCAGACCCAAAGACTCTGACATGCTGGGGATACTTCCTAGAAGATGTTTTAGCATTGTTTTGAAAAAATGCAAATTATTCCCCTTTTACTTTTAATCTTGTCAGGGATGATGGGCTAGAGGTTAAAGCACAGGATTGTGGGATAGGAGATCTGGGTCATATTTTTAGGTCTTCCATGAATACACTGTGGCATTGGACAAGTCATCATGGGTTTGCCTGCACACAGACCAATATACTTAGATAAGACTGTACCGCCGTTCCTGATCTGTAAATCTGGGATAATGCCGTTCCTGATCTGTAAATCTGGGATAATCCCTATCTCCCTGAATGTTGTGAAGCTTCACTGTAAGATGCATTGAAATATGGGCTGGAAGAGGCTAAGTGCACGTTTTTTATTTATTATTATTTTATTTATTATGATTTTGACTGAATTAGATTTCAAAATAAGTACAGGTTGAAAGTCTCTTAACTGGGATTCTCTTGTCTGGCAAAACTCTGTGGTCCGGCAGGGCTGCGGATGTTCCAGGACCAGAGCGTCATGGTGGAGAGCAGTACCTGCGAGGCCTGCAGGCTGGCACAACAGCGGAAACCTGACGCACGCCAGCAGGGCTTCCCAGTATGGCAGTGGGAGTCCCAAGCATGATAGTGGGGCTGCCCAGTAGGGCAGCGGGAGCTGGGTGTGCAGAGGCTGCAGAGCTGCCCAGCACGACAGCAGGAGCCAGGCACTGCAGTGAGAGCCTGGTGTGGCAGCAAGAGCCTGGTGCGCATGGAGGCGGTGGGGCTGCTGGGTGCTGCAGCAAAAGCCTGGCGAGCAGAGGCAATGGGGCTGCCCAGTAGGCATGTTACATTTCAATTAATTGACTCATTGAATAGTCGATGCAGTTTGCATCGACTATTTGATTAGTTGATAAGGGCGGCTCCGCCTTTAAAGTTAGGAACCACCCCAGGGCTGTTGCTACACTTCAAAGGCGAAAGCACTGCAGGGAGCACAGGGCCAGTGGGGCTGTTCCCTACGAGCCCCATGCTCCCCGTGGCATTTCAGAGCAGCAGCCCTTCATAGAGCCCAAGGTCAGCTGGGGACTCCCCCACTGGCCCCGGGCTTCATGCGGCACTGCTGCTTTGAAATGCCACGTGCAGCCTGGAGACTCCCCAGTTTGTACATGGTGTTTCAAACCGGCAGCACGGTCTGGCCCCGGGCTCCACATGGCACTACTGCTTTGAAGTTCCCACTTCTCTCCTCCCCTTCCCCACTGCCTCTTTCTGATAGACACAGCAAGGTGGGGGGGAACGACTAGTCAACTAGTATGTTGACTACTCGACTAGTTGTTTACATCTCTACTGCCCAGTAAGGCAGCAGGGACTGTCAGAGCAGCAGGGACCAGTGAGAGGGGGGAGGTCAGGGCTGGAGGGAGCTGCTGGCAAGGGAGGCCAGAAATGACCTCCCCTGGTCCAGCAAAATCCCTCATCCGGGACCAGTCATATCCCAATGGTGCTGGACCAGGGAGGTCCAATCTGTAGTTACAAAACGCGAAAGACAGTATCAGGTCTATAAGAAACACTTACATTTATCATACTACAGGCTGATCCTCTCTGTTCTGGCAACATCTGTGGTCTAGCTTGATTTTGGTTAGCCACATGTTCACTTTCATGGGTATGGCCGAGTTTTCTGTGGTCCCATAAAGTTTGTTTACAGCCACCAGTCCTGGCTCTCAGTGTTCTGTGCTGTTATTTAGCTTTAATTTACCCCTAATCTTCTTCTATGAGCTGAGTAAGCAGTGGAAGTGTTGGTAATGTTGCTAGACAATATTGACCTCCCTTGGTTCAGCAAACTCTGCTTTGGCATCGGTCAGGTCCTGAGGGCACCAGACTAGAGAGGTTCAACCTGTAGTCTCCGTTTATGCTTCTTCATCAATATATGTGCTGTTTTCCAGACATCTACTGGTGAATCCCAGAGACCGCCGTGTTGTAATAGTGGAATCTGTACTATGCCCCTCACATTTCCGAGAGACACTCACTAGAGTTCTTTTCAAGTATTTTGAGGTATGTGTATTACATAACTATTAGCATTCATTTTCTTCATTGGGTGCATAGTAACGGGTATATGGTGTCAGACCAGTCGTTCATCTAGCCCAGGAGTCCATCCAGTCTTCTGACGGTGGCTGGTACCAGATCTTTGGGAATAAAGAGAATAGGCGAAGTTGTCAAATGATTGATCCCCAGTCATCCAAGCCCAGCTTCTGGCAGTCTGCGGTTTAAGGACACCATGAGCAGAATATGCAGTTGCATAATTTCATTGGGTGATCGCTGGTTCTTGTATTGTGTGAATAACATTTTCTTCTTCACCTTCTCCACACCATTCATGGTTTTATAGCTTTCTATCATATCTCCCCTTTGTCATCTCTTTCCAAACTGAACAACAGCAGTCTTTTTTCCTCAGAAAGAAGCTGCTCTATGTCCCTAATTATTTTTGTTGCCTTTCTCTGTACTTTTTCAAGGTCTAATATATCTTTATATTAGATGGGGTGACCAGAACTGTACCAATATTTAGGTTTGAGCATACCACAGATTAATATAATGGCATTCTGATATGTTCTTTCTTATTATCTATCTCTTTCCTAATGATTCCAACATATTCTGTTTGATTTTGTGACTGCTACTGCAGTGAGTAGATGTTTTCAGAGAACTATCCAAAATTACTCTGAGATCTTTCTTGAGTGGTAACTGCTAATTTAGATCCCATTGCTTTTGAGTGGTAACAGCTAATTTAGATCCCATTGGGGTTATGCTGTCCAATGTGCATTACTTGGCATTTATCAGCATTAAATTTAATCTTCCATTTTGTTGCCCATTCTGTTTTGTGAGATACTTTTGTAACTCTTTGCAGTCTGCTTTCGAGTTAATTATCTTGAATATTCTTGTATCATCTGCAAACTTTGCCACATCACTGTTTACTACCTTTTTCAGATCACTTATGAATATATTGAGCAACACTGGCCTCAGTACAAGCTTTAGGGGACCCCACTATTTACTTCTCTCAGCTGTAAAAATATTTATTCCTACCTTTTTGCTTCCTGTCTTTAAACCAGTTACTGGTTCAGGAGATAGGAGGGAAGGTCCTCCTAACTGCCTACTTTGCTTTAGAGCCTTTGGTGAGGGACCTTATCAATGCTTTCTGAAAGTGCAACTACACTGTATCGACTGGATCATCCTTGTGCACATGTTTGTTGACCCCATCAACAAATTCTAATAGATTTGTGAGCCATGATTTCGCTGCACAAAAAGCTATGTTGACTCTTCCCCAACATATTGTGTTCATCTATGCATCTGATAATTCTGTTCTTTACTATGGTTTCAGCCAGTTTGCCTGATATGAAGTTAGGCTTACTGGCCTACATTTGCCAGGATCACTTCTGGAGCCTTTTTTTAAAAAAATCAGTGTTTATATCCTGCAGTCATCTGGTACAGAGGCTGATTTAAGTGGTAGGTTACATACCACCATTAGTAGTAGTGCAGTTTCATATTTGAGTTGCTTCAGAACTCCTGGGTGAATACCATCTGTCATGTATGATATGTAGAATAATCAAGTTGGCTCTTAGCAACAGTACTAGTGGCCATTGCTATAGTTCGCACATGTGAGAATGAACAATGGAGTGGGGATAAAGGGGAAAGGAATGAAAGTCAGAAGAAAATGACAGAGAAGTGTAGAGATCAATGGGATTTTTTTCTTGACTCCTTTAAATAGCAGTTATCTAAATACCATATATTAGCAAGAATTACATACAGGTTTTTTTTTTGCTCGTGCTTGGCAAAAAATAGCTCACATCTAATTTTTAATAGGACCAATAATCCCCACCAAGCACTGCCAGAAACTTGAATCTATATTTAAACATTTCTAAATGCGCGCTCTCAGCACAAATCTTAATTTTTCTTTTTACCATAAGCCAGTATCTTTGCCTGGCACGTGACCTCAGCTCTCTCTGTATTCACTTAGATAAGAACCTTATCTGATATGTATGCCCTTCACATGATCAGTCTTTTCATTAGATTGGACTTATCCTTAAAACTAATTCTTAGCCAAGTGTCAATGGAAAACACCTTGCAAGGTGATTCTATAAACTTTCAGTTCAGATAGATCTGATAGTTATGATTTTTTATTAAAGGCTATGCAAATAAGTAGTTTGCCTCCCCAGCCTAATTTTATAACTAATCTTAAACTGTCATAGATTAATTGTCTGTATAATTCCTTCCTGGTTATGCTTAATCTTTTTTCCACCTTAAATTTGATGAACAGTGTGAGTGGATTTTCTAATTTCTTTCCAGAAAGTTAAGAAAGAGGAGAGAGAAATGCCTTTTATTTTGATTACTTTGCAAGCTGAGGATGATAGATAATGAACTTAGCATAGAACTGCTTTAAACATCCAAAATGACTGGTGATGGGGAGTTGTTCATACTTCAGTTTTGAGGCCAGGTTCTATGCTAACAAACCTGTTGATAGCCAGCCAAAGTGAGTCTCACATTTAGAGCCACGGTTTTTGGTGTTCCAAATAATGTGATATTTGATACAAGGTCAACATTGTTATCTTTAATCTAATGACACCATAGTGTTGCCAGTAAGTACTGTAAAGGCTTTATGGAACTACTTTTAATTTCTCCCAAAGTTCAGAGGAGAGTATTTGCTAATGAGGCTTTCACCAGCCTAACTGTATGATTTCTAGAACAAGGCTAGGGCTGTTATCTAGCTATATGGCATGAACTGCTCCTTTTCATTTAGAGTTTCCTCTTCCTTACCTATATTGCAGTGTGATCCTTGTGGCCAAGAGAGTTGTTGATTTGCTCTGAGACTGTAACACTTCCTATATTGGCTTTTAATCATTGTACAGCAGAAAGTGTGATCCCACTGGCCATACATCTAAACTTGTTTTTCTCTCCTTTGTTCACCGCTTCATGTCTTTGCAGCATGTTCATAGAATCATAGAATACTAGGACTGGAAGGGACCTCGAGTGGTCATCGAGTCCAGTCCCCTGCCCTCATGGCAGGACCAAATACTGTCTAGACCATCCCTGATAGACATTTATCTAACCTACTTTTAAATATGTCCAGAGATGGGGATTCCGCAGCCTCCCTGGGCAATTTATTCCAGTGTTTGACTACCGTGACAGTTAGGAACTTTTTCCTAATGTCCAACCTAAACCTCCCTTGCTGTAGTTTAAGCCCATTGCTTCTTGTTCTATCCTCAGAGGCCAAGATGAACAAGTTCTGAAGGCCTAACATATCTCTTCAATAGTCAACTATGATGTGACCGAAGCTATATTCCATACATAATACTTGTTTTTCTTAACAACCCTCTGTTACTGTTCAGTGTTATTAAGCATATATGTGGACCTAGTGTCGTGATTAACATATTGGGAATGAATTTGAGTATGCTGCTTTATTTAGTTGGCCATCATCATATTAGATTAAATCCTGAATTAAAACTAGGCAACTAAGTACCTGATTGTTCAGTCTTCATTATGAAATTGGTAGGCAATTAACATTATAAACCTTCATATTTTCTTCCACAGAATTTATGTAATTGTTTTGGTCTCATTACAGGTTCCTTCCGTGTTGTTTGCCCCAAGTCACCTGATGTCTCTTTTGACACTTGGAATTAATTCTGCCATGGTTTTAGACTGTGGCTATGCAGAAAGTCTGGTGCTGCCTGTATCCTTGAATAATATCCAGAAATCAAATCTTTATCGACTTCTGGTTACAGTTTTTGGCTGATTTTATTATAGACTTGACATATAGTAGACAAGAATAGGGATAGACCAGCACTTCAGTTTTGATCATAGTATTTTTGTTTGCTATTTTAGAGTGGGGAATATTGCAATATCCTGGTTTGCTGCATGAGAATCCCTAAACCTATGCTCTTTGAAAAGGATGGGAGAGGAACAGATGTAATCTGTGCTCTAATGCTTGACAGTTCTGTGTTCCTCACTTTCTACACAGTAGTAAGAGTTCTGGACAGAATTAATTATTGGGAATATTTATAAGTGATGCTGGGAAAGGAAGAAGAATAATGCCTTCAGTCTCTGAGTCTTTAGATGGAAAATACTTTATCATATAGTGTGATTTCCTAAGATGCTTGTAGATATATGAGGGGATCCCAATTTTGAGTTGCTGGGGTGCTCTTCCCCTAGGAGGAAAGGCAATTCACAAGTAAGTTTACAATTATGCATCCAAGATGATTCAGTAAATTTATGATGTCATTTGATTGTGAAAATTAATTTTTAGTCAATATAGTTAAATTGGATTATAACCTCTGTTGTGTGACCACCCCAAAGTTGTAAATGTGTTGTGGCCATGGAGATTTTATGGGAATTGTGGAAATAAGTTTAGAAATTTGATTTATTTCAGTCTTTATCTAAGAGAAAGTGTGACTGAAGGAGGTAAAAACTAGTGCCAGCATGGTGCAAATACATAGGATTGGAACCTATTCCTTGTCATAAACTTTTTAAATTTACAACATTTCAGAGAGTTGGCGAATCAGTTGTTGGAGCAATGCGCTGTTGACACAGGAGTAGCTAAAGGACAAAGACTCCCATCAGTTATGGGTAAGATATAATTCTGATGTAACATAATTGTGTTCCATCTTAGTAATTATACTGTGTAAGTTGGGTTAGTTAACCCCTCTTACTTTTGTGCTTCTAAACACCAGAAATAATAAATTAATTTTTCTCTCCCTGGTTTAACATGATCCTTCTTCCACATTTCCTCCCACCCACACATAAAATTAATTAGTATGTTACTGTCATGACACGCTACTCTTAACCATTAGCTAGTTTGAAATAAAGTTAGTGCTGTATTCATTGTCCATTACATTTTGGATGTGAGAGGAGCACGTTACGTTGTTTCCAAATATAAGACTAGCTCTCTTTTTCATGAGGATTTCTTACTTGAGAGTATAGTTGCTTATTTCTAGAAAATCTTCTGAAGTTATTGTTCAATTTCTGTACAGAATTCACATTTCTTCAATTATTGGTTGGATTCTGCAAGTTCTGTTTTTACATAATGAAGATCTGTACTAAACTATTAACTGTTTTTAGGTTCAGTTCCAGAAGACATTGTAGAGGATATAAAAGGTAAAACTTTTTACTTCAAGAAATCCTTTTTTTCTGCTTATGTACTGGACATATTGGAGGTGCTCTGCATTTCATATTGCATTCGTCTTTGGAAGTTTGACTTGAGATGTTGGTCCAGATATAGCTAAATGTTGTTGTGTTTTGCATATAAACACAACATAAAGGTTTTGGGTGGTTTTGTTTATCCATCCAGCAGCAGTTTAGGTTAATTTGGTGTTAAATTTTTAAATACTCCTGTTTTTTTTACTGATGACTATTTATAGAAACATGCAGTCTGTATCCTACCTGGGTTTAATAGATGTTTTCATTTCCACAGATTGTGGATGTTGCTTCTGGTCAAAAAGAAAACTGTTGCTGAGAAATTCTGACTTAAATCATTAGTTTGTTTTTGCTTAAATGATTTAACCAAACATGTTCTGTGTTTGCCACATAATATGGTATCGTCACCAAAATTGAAAATGGCATGTAAAAGGTATTTTGGATATTTCATCCAGTATGAAACATTACTCAACTTAATAAATTTATACTTCAAAAATTGGGCATTCTTCACTATACAGTTTTCTAACTCCTCTATAGTACTTCATATGCAGTTCATTCCCAAAGCACTTTACAACTCAATTAATAGAAAATAAAAATAGTTGATGAATTTAAGAAATGTTTTCCATTGCTTATTATCAACCAGTCTTAACAGAAATGGCATCTACCTGTTGGGTCAAACTAGGATGGAAGATCCACATGTCCAGGGCAAACCACCTTGTTAGCTTAAGATACCACATACCTTTTAAACACTGCTAATATTTTATCAAATGTAACCAATTTATGGAAATGGCTTTTTAAAATTATGGACACAAATGCAGCATACTGGTTGGATGCATTTTTTTCCCACCCAATTGTTTTTAACAAGAAATAAGATGTTATTTAGTGGAATGATGATTTTTGTTATATTAAATTTACAAATGGAATTTTGCTCATACATGCCTTCTGTAGTTTTGGAGGACAGGAGATAAAGGCCACCACGTAATGGCAGACCATTTACAAAACAGCAATATCCAATTTGAGATGGTGGGATGCAAGACTGGAATTGTAAATTCAAAGGCAGTACACTATTTCTTGCTACCTCCTGGTAACAAAAAGGCAGGTTGATAACACTCCATCGACTTTAGATCTATTTAGTTCCTGAAGAAGAAAATCCTCCCTATTGCAGCATAGTTGTGGTATGAATGCTACTTCTTTTAGATTTCTGCATTCCAACCAGAATCTAAGCTCTGATCATGACCGTGTCAGAGCATTTCACAGCAAGTAGCAATATCAAGCACACACAAAAATTTAAAATCTGGTCCCAGGTATGTTAAGTAAATGGATAAAAGTCACAAGCTGTGTTGAGGCTTCTTATAGGCAATGGTAAGTTAAGAAATCTAAAACGAAGCCCTTATATTTTTTTCTTTTATAAAGTCCGCACTTGTTTTGTGAGTGATCTCCAACGTGGGCTGAAAATCCAGGCAGCAAAGTTCAACGTGGATGGCAGTGCCGAGGTAGGTAGAGAGTAAATGTTTCCCCTCTTCTTTGAAGTGGAAAGAAAGCTGTTTTGCCTTTTAGATGATATGTGTGTGATGTTTTGTTTTTTTTAGCGTCCTTCACCACCTCCAGATGTAGACTATCCTCTAGATGGAGAGAAGATTCTGCATGTGGTTGGATCCATCAGGTTAGAAATACTGTAACTAAAATGATTTATTATTTTATAGTTTTGTTAAAGTAATGTGTTAGGGGCATGAATGCACTTTGATTTTGTAATCTCAGGTCCCTAAAATGTTGCAATAGAATAATAGCCTGGGGTACCACCAGGAGGCCATAATCATTCACCAGGACCTCATTGTGCTAAGTGCTGAACTGACATGTAACCAAAGAAAATCCCTAGAAAACAAAATCCCCACACCTGTCCCTCGTCCAAAGAGTTTAAAGACTTTAGTGTAATATGAGAGACAATATGTGTAAACAAACAGTTGGGGGAACACAAGGAAACAGTGACCCCCATGCTGGTATATTGTTGTTTGTTACTAATGTTCTCTGTTTGTTTTGTCTCGTCAACAGAGATTCGGTTGTTGAAATACTGTTTGAGCAAGATAATGAAGAGAAATCAGTTGCCACTTTAATCCTGGATGCACTTATTCAGGTATCTCTACCATTATAAATAGTTGAGTGAATTGCTGCAGCCTTGCATAGTGTTTGGTTTTATAAACTGTCATTCCCTGAGGTAGTTCCACTGATTGTAAGTATGGACGAAACGTGTGGTAAGAGTTCTCGGAATCAGGCTCATGATTGGCTTAAAGAAGATGAGAAATAACAGTATATTGCGGCCTCTTGAAAATTATATGTTATTATTCAAGTGGTGTTTGTATTTTTATTGCTCCTCCTTGTTTAAGGTCTTTTATTTGGGCTTGGAAATTCTCTTGAGGTGTAATATCCAATCACAAGAATAAATGTCTTTGCCCAGATAGGGAAATATGAGTTTGACCAGTATAAATGTAAACTGCATTTTATTTGATGTATACTTTAAAGATGCATTTCTGGAGTTACAAATACATTGTCTGAACCAAAGTTTGCAGATTAGGGATGTAAGCGATTAGTCGACTCTCCGATAAGAATAAGCAAGGGGGAAGGAGGCAGCAAGGCGGGGGGAGCAGGAGCCGGTGCTGGGAGGCATGGGAGGCAGAGGCACAGGAGGGAAATGGTGCGAGGGGGACTAAAACAATCCCTACTTGTGCTGGTTCCCACTGCGGTGCTTCAGCCTTTGAACCCTATGGGGCTCTTGCTACATTTCAAAGACTGAAGCACTGCAGTGGGAACACGGGGCAAGCAGGACTGCTCGAGTCCCCGCGTGCCCTGTGCTCTCTGTGGTGCCACCCCCCTTGCTGCCTCTGCTTCCCTCCCCTTGCCTCTTCTCCAACCCTTGCTTGCGGCCAGCCCTGGCCACCGTGAACAGAGGCTGCTCCAGCACCAACCCAGGGTTGTCTGCTGCGAACAGGGGCTGCTGGACTCAGCATGAGCCAAGACCAAGCAGTCCTGGCTTGTGTGGATGCTGCGCCTCTGCATTTTAAATGTAGTAAGGCTCTTACTACATTGAAAATACAGAGCTGGAGTGTAGGTGGCTCTCAAAGCTATCCTTGCTTCGACTCTGCATAGTAATTCTATTGACTAATCTTATAGTCAATACAAATTGTATCAACTATATGATACATTGCAGTTACTGAGCTAAACATCCCTATTGCAGAGGAGTAATTCTTTGCTAGGGCAATTAACTTAGATATTTTAAGATAATTATTTCAAGTTAGGGCTCACCTTGTTATAAAAACTGATCCCATTAAATAATTCCCAGTGGTTTGGGTTCTTTGTTTCTTGGTTTAGAGGGACAGAGAGAGATCAAATTACATTGTTCTGAAGTGATTCCCTCTAACCTAAGCAAGAAATGGTTTTGGAAGGGTAAGTCATTCAGTTTTCTACTAGAGAAGAAAGTCACTACAGCGTGGGACACCTTGTGAGGGGTAGCAGCCCCATAAAAATAGTGTGCATTGTCCTATGCTTATGTTAACAGAAATATGTACCAGTGTTACTTGATAAAGGGAGAGGAGCTAAATTTCTGACATGTTTTGAATGCTGTGTATGTAATTTCATTTAAACATTTTCAATTTTCTTTTGTACCAGTGCCCCATAGACACCAGGAAGCAGCTGGCTGAAAACTTAGTAGTTATTGGCGGCACTGCTATGTTGCCAGGATTCCTACACAGATTAATGGCTGAAATTAGGTATCTGGTCGATAAACCAAAATACAAAGAAGTTCTTGCCACTAAGACCTTCAGGATTCACACTCCACCTGCCAAACCCAATTGTGTGGCTTGGCTGGGAGGTAAGAATGACTTGGACATTAGAGGTAGGAAATGAAAAGCAGATTCTGCAATGAGATTTGAAAGGAGCAAATAACAATAGTTCTCCCGACAGTTGCTAAATGTAAACTGCATCTGAGCTCTTTGTGCCTCTTGTCAAAGCCCATGGAGCAAAGCTGCCTCATGGATTTTTGGTAGGCAAGAGATTTGCCCCACTCATGACATAGAGTAGCAGATCATTGAAAAGCATCAGTATCAAATTTGAAGTGGTGTGTAAGACAGAAATTGTTGCTTCAGGTGGCAGTTCACCATTCCTGCCATGTGGTGGTAGCAGCAAAGTAACTAACATCCAAAGCACAGACTTGCTGAACAGGGCTGTCATTTGCTGTGGGTCAGACTCTTTCTGGCTCCTCTCCAGGTGGCAGTGAGGTGTCAACACTGGGCCTGTGGAACCACAGTGGGCTAGGGCTTCTAATTGCTATATTGGTAGCTCCGGCCACTTCTTCCCATCAGCCAGCCAGGAAGCGGTTATGCCCTTGGTCAGAGCTGAGTGCAAATGAAGAAGACTCTGATCCCCCTAAAAAGAAGTGGGGGACAGTTATTGACTGAGCAGCTGCCAATCATGAGCTGGGCAAGGACTGCTAACTCCATTGCACAACCCAGATATCTGCTGTAGACACAGAATATTCAGGCTCTGTGTTGGATTTTGGATGCGGTGTTGTGAATCTGGGAAAGAGAAGGGTTAAGAGAAGTGCTTCATGGTGATTCTGTGAAGCTAAAAGGATTTCTTCTGCCAATTTTTGAATGTATAATCTCTTTCAGATAATAAACAAAGCCTTGTGCATAACTAGAGTAGAATGTAAGAGAAATAAATTTTTAACACTGGTTGAAATAGAGTGCCATAGAACTGCCAATGTTTGATATTGTGTGTTTTATCAGCCCGTCTGCAGCTCCGTATCAGGAATGTAGACTTGCTTTTCCACACGCCTGCGCAAACATAACTCTTGTGCATGTTTTGCCATGCTAGCAGATTCCCATAGCTCTTAGTTTCTGGGGGAATTTCATTTAACAATGGAATTAGTGGCATCTGTTTGAAGCACTTGGAGTTATAGCTTCAGGGGAAGGCCTGTGCAAGTAACTATTGGCAATAAAGCCCATGAGAGTCTTTTATTCAGTCACTTATGAAGGGTGTGAAATGAAGCAATAAAATAAGAGGGAAAGTGCGTAGACCTAGTATCTTCAGTTTTTTGTTTCTGCCTTGGTTGAAAATTGGTAGGGAGAAAGAAATTTAGTGTGATGAGAACTAAGGTGCCATTTAATTTTGTTTTACAATGCAGGAGCCATTTTTGGAGCTCTTCAGGACATTCTTGGAAGCCGTTCAGTTTCCAAGGAATATTACAGTCAGACAGGTCGTATACCTGACTGGTGCTGTCTCAATAACCCTCCTTTGGAAATGATGTTTGATGTTGGCAAAGCACCACCGCCACTCATGAAGAGGGCTTTTTCCACCGAGAAATAAGTATCTCAATACATTGCAGCTACACAAGGATTGTCTTCACCTGCTTCAAGCACACCTGTACAAGTTGCTTCTTGTGTATTTAGTGAATCAGGTGTAGTGCTGTTTAAAATGAATGATATAGGTGTCGTTTGGGGGCATCTTGTTGGCTGGAACTATATTGCAGTTGGATACAATTCTACATTTAGATTAAACCCCTCTCTCCCAAAACACCAGTTTTGACAAATGTGATTATGTGCTTTTTTTTTTCTTTTTGTGGAAATAATGTAATTGGCACAAGTTGTTACTTACTGAGTTGTTTGCGCTTTCTATTGATGTACAGTAGATACAAAATTAAGAGGCTTAGTTTTAGATGTTTTTGTTTTGTTTTTTGTTTTAACCTCTTAGAAGAATAAAGAAGGTTCCTTGTGAAACCTTGTGGGGAAGTTTCTCTGCCACACTCACCATAAAACATTGCACATATTAATATAACCTGTTGGTTCATACATTAAAATGTCTCCTGGAAACGCAAGTGTTTTGTTGTGTGTCCATAGAGGTTGTTATAGAGACCGAGATTCCTGTATTCAGAAGCTGAACAGGGACTTGCTCCAGGATGAAGTTGTCAAAGTGTCAATTTACCTTGCCTGCTAACAACTTTTACCCCCCAAAATCTGACCACTTAGGAATTATACATGGAAAAACTTAAAATAATTAGTATGTGCTTGTTATTAGCATTAACTTTCTTTGGAATGGAGATGGAAATTAGCAGCAAAGCAAGATAGGTATTAAAAAAAAATAATTCGAAAGCAATAAATATGAAATAAAAATACAAAATTGAACTATAAGGTAAATGAGGTACAAAAATTGATACACAAACCAAAAGTAATAAAATACTTCCAATTCCTATCAGAGAATCAAATGAAAATGTTTTTAGTACTGTTGATGCAAATACTGTTAGCAACTGCAGAGTATAGAATTCCACCCTCCACTTTAATTATTTCAAAGGTCGGTTGAGTCAACAATTCACCCTTTTAAAAAAAGAATAATCGATATTTGGATGCACACAGCATGCTATTATCACATTAATTAATAGGATTTTATAAATTTGTTACTGCATACTGCAAGATTCTCTTACTCAGGAAAGTATCTGTAAAGTTTGAGAGTCTCGTGCACACACGTTTTTGTCAATTCTTATTATTTCCACCAGTATTTATAATATTGTTTTCTGTAGTATTTTGTGCACTCATGGTATATTGCCTTCTATTTGAGAATTATGAACACAAAGTGCACTTTAGTGACAAAGATTTGACTTACTTTTGACATTCCTCACTTAAAATTAAGGATCAGACTGCCATTAATTTATACCAATATGCCTGCCTCATAGCTATCTCCTGCTAAATGGTGATTTTCACCTACACTGTACTAACTACTGAAATACATGGATTCTTGTGCTTTTAAATCCTTAATATGAATGTGTAGATCACTGTTTAGATTTTTGTTTTAAGAATCTTTCATTACCACTAATAGGATTTTCATGGTTGATTCCTCCCTTGGCCCTTGCAGACTATTGATCAGTTTCTGGAGGTTACTAAAATGTAGTTTTAGAAATAAAATGTGCTTATATAGAAACAAAAATTACTGATTTTGAAACTAAACATAGTGTGGCGTGCAGTGGTATTTTTTTAATAGGTGTGTCCAAGAATCACTGTGTGAAGTTTTCTGGCTTGTATTACACATGAACTCAGACTTAATGATTATAGTAGCCTCTTCTTGCCTTAAATTGTTTTCTTTGCCAGCGTTATTGAGGAATACGTTTGAGCTAAGCAGATCTAGGCAGAATATCTCTAACATTAGCTACACTAATTTTTGTGTCCACACCTGGCATCTAGGCAGAATTTATTTGCGATAGTTTGTAATAGAAATCTTTGAACAATCACTGATAATGGCAAGTATTTAGCGCACTCCCCTATTTTTTTCTTTCTTACTATATATTTTAGAAATGTGTGTCTGTCTATCCATCCGTCTGTGAGCCCATTTGTTGAAAAACTCCTCTATATGGTAAAAGCGAGGACCACTAAATTTGGCATGCAGCTTTCTATTGTCATAACTTAAAGCAGGGTCATTGTGTGTCCATGCCAGGACAATGGGATGTACATGGAATGTGATTGTTTCACATCAAATGGAAAGGGAGAGCTGTGGGAGCAGGGACGGTTTTACTCATGAATGACCAAGGGGGGGACAGCAAGTGCCCCAGCCCCAGAGAACAGCTGTTGGCTGGCAGCACAGCCGCCTGCCACATCTGCCTGCCTTGGGGAGCAACTGCTGGTTACTATGCAGCTCCCACCACCCCCAAGGAGCAGCCACTGACAGTGCCATGCAGCCACCATTGCCCCTGGCTGGCCCTACTGAATGCCAGAGAATGACCTGCATGGCACCTCTGCCCTGGGCCAGTCTCAGGGAGGGCTGGTGGGCAGCCTGCACAGCCCCTTCCAACTCCTAGGCTGGCCCAGGGGAGAAGCCTTGAAGAAGACAGCCCTTTGAGTGAAGTTTGCATGAGGCATGATGCTGTTGTCCCTGCCCCCACCTCTCCACACACACACACACACACTGGTGTGAGACAGTCTTGAACCTTGTTATATCTGTTCTGGAAAAGTAAAAATGATTATCATCTGACTTCTGCCTAGTGTTAATCTGGAACATAGTAAGGCAGAGTTTCCTAAAACACTTGCATTTGGCTTGCCTTAACATTATAGAATAGCAACAACTATGAAAGCAGCCTGGTTAAACAATCCCCTCAGATAACCTTTTTAAAAATAAAGAATTAGTTTTCTTGTGCCACAGGGCCCAAAACTATTCCAAAAGCTAAAGGCACCTGCCAGTTTGTAGGATTGGGCCCCTGAACAAATACACCCTCACATGGGGCTCTCAGATATCACTCCTGGAGAAATTACGCACCACTGCAGAATTTGCGTTCCCTGCAGAAAATACATTTTGCCAGCGATACACTGCAATTACTTCTGCCCACCAGGGAGCAGTATCATGCTGGAACAGAGGGCAGCTGGAGCATGTGCAGGAGCAGCCAGTTACAGAGGGGGAGGAGAGGCTTCTTTCTTTACCCTGGCCGCACTGAGGAGACAGTTATGGGAATATGGGGGGAAGGAGGAGAGAAATCAGGGCACACGGGGTCGTTGGGGGAGTCACTTAAGCTGGAGTTCAGAAGGGCTAGCAGAGAACCAGGCTGGAGTAGAAGCATTGCATGGGGGGTGCAGGCACACATGGAAGGGGAGGAGGAGTGGGGGTGCAGGCGCACATGGAGGGGGAGGAGGTGGAGGAGTGGGGGTGCAGGCGCACATGGAGGGGGAGGAGGTGGAGGAGTGGGGGTGCAGGCGCACATGGAGGGGGAGGAGGTGGAGGAGTGGGGGTGCAGGCGCACATGGAGGGGGAGGAGGTGGAGGAGTGGGGGTGCAGGCGCACATGGAGGGGGAGGAGGTGGAGGAGTGGGGGTGCAGGCGCACATGGAGGGGGAGGAGGTGGAGGAGTGGGGGTGCAGGCGCACATGGAGGGGGAGGAGGTGGAGGAGTGGGGGTGCAGGCGCACATGGAGGGGGAGGAGGTGGAGGAGTGGGGGTGCAGGCGCACATGGAGGGGGAGGAGGTGGAGGAGTGGGGGTGCAGGCGCACATGGAGGGGGAGGAGGTGGAGGAGTGGGGGTGCAGGCGCACATGGAGGGGGAGGAGGTGGAGGAGTGGGGGTGCAGGCGCACATGGAGGGGGAGGAGGTGGAGGAGTGGGGGTGCAGGCGCACATGGAGGGGGAGGAGGTGGAGGAGTGGGGGTGCAGGCGCACATGGAGGGGGAGGAGGTGGAGGAGTGGGGGTGCAGGCGCACATGGAGGGGGAGGAGGTGGAGGAGTGGGGGTGCAGGCGCACATGGAGGGGGAGGAGGTGGAGGAGTGGGGGTGCAGGCGCACATGGAGGGGGAGGAGGTGGAGGAGTGGGGGTGCAGGCGCACATGGAGGGGGAGGAGGTGGAGGAGTGGGGGTGCAGGCGCACATGGAGGGGGAGGAGGTGGAGGAGTGGGGGTGCAGGCGCACATGGAGGGGGAGGAGGTGGAGGAGTGGGGGTGCAGGCGCACATGGAGGGGGAGGAGGTGGAGGAGTGGGGGTGCAGGCGCACATGGAGGGGGAGGAGGTGGAGGAGTGGGGGTGCAGGCGCACATGGAGGGGGAGGAGGTGGAGGAGTGGGGGTGCAGGCGCACATGGAGGGGGAGGAGGTGGAGGAGTGGGGGTGCAGGCGCACATGGAGGGGGAGGAGGTGGAGGAGTGGGGGTGCAGGCGCACATGGAGGGGGAGGAGGTGGAGGAGTGGGGGTGCAGGCGCACATGGAGGGGGAGGAGGTGGAGGAGTGGGGGTGCAGGCGCACATGGAGGGGGAGGAGGTGGAGGAGTGGGGGTGCAGGCGCACATGGAGGGGGAGGAGGTGGAGGAGTGGGGGTGCAGGCGCACATGGAGGGGGAGGAGGTGGAGGAGTGGGGGTGCAGGCGCACATGGAGGGGGAGGAGGTGGAGGAGTGGGGGTGCAGGCGCACATGGAGGGGGAGGAGGTGGAGGAGTGGGGGTGCAGGCGCACATGGAGGGGGAGGAGGTGGAGGAGTGGGGGTGCAGGCGCACATGGAGGCACTTCTTTTTTTTTTCTCAACCAAATTTGGCGGCCCCCGTGGGCAAATGAAAAAAGGTGGCGCACCACTGAGCTAGAGGTTGCCTCTTGTCAATCAGAGGCCATAAATTACTTCCCAAGATATGACATTACTTCCTGCCCAAGACAGCATTTTGCAGGTTGGCTGTGAGCCCCACCTCCCAAAGGGCCTCAAAAACACTGGTTAGGTGTCAAAGGTGATCAGGAACACAAGGGGATTGGTGAATGCAGGACCTTACGAAGACAGGGGAAGGCAGGGGCTGAGTGGGGGTTCCCCACCCTTGGAGAGGGGCCCGGCTAGAGAGGCCCCTGCAGCGCTGCACGGTACTTCCTCCACCCCCCAGCTTCACCCGTCTCGCTTTGCAAAGCGTATGGCCGAACCTGGCTCCTTCGCACGCAAACTGAGCTGTTCCCAGCTCTGTTGGGGTAAAATTACAAGAACCAAGACAAGCCATCCATACTCACTAACAGTCGAAGAACAAAATCATCGCCCAACGTGGGGCTCGAACCCACGACCCTGGGATTAAGAGTCCCATGCTCTACCGACTGAGCTAGCCGGGCGTTGCACAATAGCTTCCTCCAGGGGCTATTCGAAATGTAGCCTGGAGCATGCGTAGAACTGATTATCTCGAGGCGCACTTACGAGACTCCTCCCCTCTCGAGTCACAGTCTCTGGCCGGCCGCGCCCTCGCGTCAGTGCCCCGTTGACGTTCACAAAGGAACCTTCTGTGGAAGCTGATTGGCTGTTGTGCGGACCAATGGGAACGCGCGCTGGCGCGCGCACAGCCCCGTGAACTCAGCGCAGCGTGTTGTGGGTCTGTCCGGCGTTCGTTCTCCGCACGGCTCCGCCGCCATGAGCTCCATCGGCACCGGGGTGAGTGCGCGTGCTCGCCGGGCCCGCCGCTGACAGAGTTTGCGGGGAGGGGGAGTCTGCGCGCGAGCCTTCCTCCCCCCCGCCCCCGCCG